AGAATCTGACTGGCTGAATACTCAAACGTGGTTAAAATGGTCGCAACACTTTGCTGGTAACGTAAGGCCTCCAAAAGACCACCCTACTTATGGACAACCACGCATCTCACTTTACTTATGGGTTGGTGGAGTTTTGCCGAAACAACAGCATAGTTGTCGTAGCCACACACTAGTCATAGGATGCAACCGCTTGACGTGGCATTTTATGGCCCGTTCAAAACAGCTTACAGGCTTCTCAGTTACAGGGATTGTGCCCTTTGATTCACAAAGCTTTCCAGATAGTGATAGTGAGGCAGCTGATGTCACGGATCAGCCAGCCGTTCCTGTTGAAATTGATGCACCAGCAGCTTCTATTGTAATTGATAGTGATCCTCCACGTGCAGCTACTGGTATTGCTATTGGTATTGTTCACCAATACCACCTCAAGCTCCTATTGAACAGCCTCCCTCAGCCGATTCTCTAGGTGAGCTGAGGAGCCATCCAGTAGCGAGTTCCTCCAAGACTGGTGTTTCTATGTTACCTAAGGCTCCAGTGAAAGAAAAAAAACGAAAGGAGAGAAACAATTACTTAGCCTACATCTTAGTAGCACTCCGGTAAAAGACGCATTGCTGGAGAGGTAAAAAGAAAAGGAGGAAAAAGAGGAAAAAGGCAGAGAGGGCAATGAAGTGTTCAGAGAAAATAAAAAAACAGAAAGCTGCGAAATTGTCAAAAGAAAATTGAAAGCAAGAGAAGTCTTCAGTCGTTAAAATCAAGCTATTTTTAGCGGACGACTCCTCGAACTCGTCCATCTAGGTTCGACTAGATAGCGAAGATGGTGGAATTGATTTGGATGGAGCCGAAGAAATTTGTATAATTTGTGACGAGGTTGGCATGGCAGAAACTTGGTATTGCTGTAGTTCCTGCAGAAAATGGGCATATGCGCAATGCGCGGGAGCTACGGCTAAAGAAGCCAACATAAAAGCATGGGTGTGCGATTTCTGTACTTAAATTTTAGTTCATTAAACGCCTTTTTGAACTCTAACTATTGTATTTGAAAATATGATGCTTCATTCGCGATTTCGCAAGTTTCGCACCCCATAAAATAGATTCGCCATCTTAGCCGTGAGTCTTAGCTGGTGAATGTGCAGTGGAATAAAAAAATTGAAGTAACAATAATTTCCAATAGACTTAGAGTTCCGGAAAAACCCTAATCTCATGCCTAAAGCATCTATCAAGGCTACCCAGAAGTAATTTTGCTTCCAAGAAGTACCTTGCAAAAAATATTAATTAATACGAAAACATTCATAGAATGAGTTGATGCGAGCCTGGTTTCATAATCCATTGGATCTAACCCAATGAATCGCTTCATTGATGAACAAATAGACGGATTTACCATTTGTTTTCTTTTGGAGCGCCCTTTTCTTCATTCCGTTCATTAACTCCAAAATAGTCTTTACCGCTCCATCCAAGTTTATTTGAAATACTTCGATGTTTCTGGCTACATTTACTGGTGAAGACTGGAAGAGAGATTTGCTAAATTAAATAAAATTGTATTGGTTAGTTAATTCAAGTTGCAACTTTGATCTATCAAATTGAATAATCAATATTGGCTACTGAAAAAGTTTTTTCACAAAATCATGTCTCTAATATCTGAATGAAGGTGAATCCATTTGGAATGTCTCAAAAAGAAAATGAAATGTGAAGCTGTTGCACTTATCACGCAAGCAGGTAGAGTGACATGCAATTTCATATTTTTCTGACTCGTTCAAGATCCCTTCTGCTCTATCCAAGTTTAGTTGCAGATAGATTCATCGAATCGAATGGGATTGAAAGTTACAGAAAGGAAACACTCAATTCCTCTTATTTTTTCCAAGCTCTCCAGGAGGTATAATAGAATAATATATAAAAACAATAAGTAAAAAAGAGAATGCTTTCTGCAGGCGTTAGGATGTACGTGAGCGTTAAAAGAATTTCGCAGATCATTGAATGAAAACAGTTGAATTTCACGCGCCATGAGTTTCAATTGTTTGGAAAACTGAGCAAAGGGCTTCCCCGGTAATTGTCAGTTTCTTCACCCAGACAGAGTTCTTAAACCCACGCGAAGTGATATTGAATCACTATTCATCCACTACTGTACGTGTAAATGATTTTGATCTGGAAATACGGTGTATATTGAGATTTGGTCTTTCATTGTCTAAGAAGAATTGGAGGACTTGGAATATTCGATGAAAAAAGAAAATGGATAGAATATTTTTGATCCTCAGTATATTGATCTGCATTTGGAAGGCCACTTCAGTTTGGTCGTTACTGAGTAGCATTCCAAGTTCATCAGATACATTCTCTACAAATTGAATATTGTGATATTTTCACCCCTGTTAACTAGTTAACTGTAATGAAAATAATCTGAATATCAATAAGAATTCCGTTACCATGTTCAATCATGTTATCTGTGCTACAGGGTGCTGAAATTTAAAGAAAACATTTTTAGAAGGTTGGTAAGGAAACGATAGATTTGAACCAGCCATCATTCTGAAAAAGTTCAACATTTTCAAAACGAAGCTTTTTTAACATTCCCTGAAAAAATTCATATCCATCAATTCGTTACATTACAAAATTTATATGATTGAAGGTTTGCCGCAACATTTACCTATTTTATGAAAACAGTTACATATTTTACTGAAAACGACGTAGCCGACTTGTGACGTCAACAACCTCTGAGAAAGCATTTTGATGTTACACACTCTGTTCAATACGGAAGCTTAGAAGGGCCAAAAATTATTTATTTATTTGATCCCCCATAATTTCGACTTAAAAGTCGAAATTTCGACTTTTATCTCGTAATTTCGACTTTTATTTCGTAACTTAGACTTTTATCTCGAAATTTCGACTTTTGGAGCACTGTCGAAGTGACTTTTCTTCATAGTGGTATGTTTTTTTACGAATAAATATGACAAAAACCGATTTTATTGAATATTCAGTCATCAGGTCTCTATGATTTTTCGAAACGAGGAGAGAAAATTCATAATACCTAAGAAATGAACATTGTATCTCTTCGAAGAACATACCGACAGTATTTGTTGGTTGCCATTGCAAAATGTGTTTCCTACATGACGTTTAAGATATGAGTATTCTTTCAAAATGTCAAAAAATTTCTACTTGAAATTTCTTCAGTTGTAGTGAAAAACTGAATTTTAGATAAGTTTTGATAATAAAGTAAGGATTTTACTGATCACATTAATTTACTATGATGAGAAACTAATATTTTGGCCAAAGTCGACTTTCTCCTACTCGTGCGGAAAGCATTCACTTTTTCAAAAAGGTACTGAATAATATTAATGCATAATTATTATTCTGAAATTTATTGAAATAACATAATTAATTCACTTCTCAAGTTAATGTATAAATCAATTGTGGCATGAGGATCTAGGGACCTTGTGTAATTATTTTTTTCATAAAAATTGAACATAATTTCCAAAAATCTTCATCACAGGCTGCCCGGCAATATGTACACTTCGATGAAAAATGTTTGAAAGTGAATGATGGAATCTCGATGAGGTGATCTGTAACTCCATAAATGGAAGGCATCGCATACAATATTCTTGGTCTCCCTGCTGGAGCAATAGCATTTCTTGTTTTTCGTATTCTATGAATACTCCATTCAAAACCTACTTGATCAAGATCACTCGAAAATAAAAATTATTATTAAAATTTCATTAACAATAACTTATCTCTTACTTGTACTGATGGTATGAAACAGAATTGAACTAGAGACTTGTCCGAAAATGATGCATCGAATAAATTGTCTTCTATTAGGGTTTGAAATAAATTCATCCAGTATTGTGCATTATGTTTATGTAATATAGACCACCAAGATTCTATCCTTCAATTGTGCATGCTTTTTCCATACAAAAAAACATGGTCGATTTGTTGATTCAGTAAATACTTCATGAAAGGCTTTTTGTATCCTCTACATTACTTCATTTCCAGTGCCCATATCGGTTCGTAAAGTTCTGGGACATTCTCTTCTTAAGAAATATCCTCCAATTACCTGGGAAATTTTGAATTCATGTGAAAAAATTTGAATCGGCAGCTAAACGAACATCAGAGAGAAATCAATTTGTATTATTTAGTTGTATTGTTTTGATCATGACGAATGTGACGATGATATGATCTTCAAAATTACAAATTTTTTCGAGTGTGAAGATGAGAAATAATAAATAGTGTGGTGAAATTTAATGAAATATCATTGACATGAGCATCTTCAAAAATGTACATTAAACTGAAATATTTGTTCTTGTTTCAACATCAGTTCGGAATGATTATTTATTGATGAAATTATTGATTGATTCAGAGTTAATGATTATCGAAATGTCGAAATGAGATAAAAGTCGAAATTACGAGATAAAAGTCGAAATTACGAGATAAAAGTCGAAATTACGAGATAAAAGTCGAAATTACGAGATAAAAGTCGAAATTACGAGATAAAAATCGAAATTACGAGATAAAAGTCGAAATTACGAGATAAAAGTCGAAATTACGAGATAAAAGTCGAAATTACGAGATAAAAGTTGAAATTTCGACTTTTAAGTCGAAAGTATGGTAAATCAAATCAACAAATAATCTTTGGCCCTTCTACTCTTCTGTAGTTCAACTGCAAATAAGAATTTCGTAGTATATACATTTTTGTTTGAAGAAGTAAGTGAACATGTATCTTCGTAATAATGAATAGAAGGAGATGACGAAACATGTAAACAGCCCATTCCTCTCCTGAAGAAGATTTCTAGGTGAAATATTATTTACACAGTATATCAGTATTTATTCGTGAAACTTCACAGAATAATTATTTTATAGTTATGAGTAGAATATTATGAAGGTTAATACATACTAACTGAAAAAGCGATGACAGCAATAAGACTAGTGCCATCTATGTGTCAGGTCCGAGACTTTTAAGCCAATGTAGTGAACCCAAATTTAATTATCCCTCATGTACTCCACTGACTCATTATTCACCCTTTTTCCAGAGCAACCGAAGTATATGCTTCTCTGCACTCTGTACATCCTCGTGGGTTTGGCGTTAACTTCGACGATTATAGAATTGGTGCGCCGACAATATGCTCATTCTTGGAGGCAATTACAAGCTCTTAGAGGACCTCTAGCAGACAACTTCAGGAAATTCGCTGAAAATGCACCTAACTTGGATGTACTAGCTTTCCAGCAGGATCTAATGAAAGTCCTAACAGTGGTAAGAACAGTATTTGAGTTATTTTTCTGGCGTTTCGAAAGAATGTATGAGGAGGCAGGTAATTTTTGCTCCCACCTCCACTACATTTTGTGTATCACATCAAATTATTATTGATTTTAACAAAATGGTTTGGACTTTCACGGCTGAGGTTTTCAGTGTCATTTCTTTTCGAGTTTGAAAGCCGTGGATTTTTGGAATTTCTTCCTGACGTTTCGCTGGAGCGAGTGGCTAGCTTCTTCAGAGGTTTAACCATCATGGCTTGCTGTCCGATGACTACCTTTTCGGCTTCGTAAAGCGTATTTATGCCTCGTCAGGTAATCAGTTGTATTTGTACCTGCATTTGTACTTACATTTGTACCTGTACTCCCACTGTACTCCTACTACTAGATGTAATAGTAGAACGATGTGGTACCAGACTAACCCACAGTGTATCGAGAACCCACACTCACAGATAGATACTTGCACGCACTATCGAACCATCATCCTAGCCAAAAGAGAGAAGTCATCTCCACTCTAACGGAACAGGCTCGGAGAATATGTGAACCAGAACATCTAGAGAGGGAACTGAAACACCTTGAAGTGACCTTGAGATCGAATGAATACAGTGCCTCCGAGACCAGAAAAGCCATGAAACCGAAGGGCACCACGGTTCTGAAAGCAAAAAAGGATCAGATGGTTACACGCGCATATCTACCGTTTATCCCTAGTGTCACGGACAGAATTGGAAAACTATTGGGCAAACACGACATCGAAACAGTCTTCAAACCCACGAGGAAGATACACCAAAGCTTCAGGTCAGCTAAAGACAAAAGAGAACCATTATTAGCAGCAGGGGTCTATCGCATACCGTTCACTTGTGGAAAGGTATATATCGGAACCACCAAACGATCCATGGGAACAAGACTAAAGGAGCATGAAAGGAGCTGCAGACTAGGCCAAACGGACAAGTCAGCTGTGGCAGAATACGCACTTAGTGAAGGAGACCACAGAATTTTGTTTGAAAACACAGAACTAATTGCCCCCAACCAGGGATACCATAGCCAACTGGTACGGGAGGCAATAGAGATCCACAAACACACGGAGAATTTCAACCGAAAAGAAGAAGCGGTGCACCTCAATCGAATATGGAACCCCATTTTGAGGAATTCAAGAATAACGAACAGGACAACAGGCAGCGAGATTGTTGATGTTCCGAGTTCAAGTGCAGAAACGAGTAGAGGTACAAATACAGGCACAAATTCAGGTACAAATTCAGGTACAAATACAGGTACAAATACAACAGATTACCTGATGAGGCATAAATATGCTTTACGAAGCCGAAAAGGTAGTCATCGAACAGCAATCCATGATGGCTTAACCTCTGAAGAAGCTAGCCACTCGCGCCAGCGAAACGTCAGGAATAAATTCCAAAAATCTTTCAAACTCGAAAAGAAATGACGCCCATTATTGATTTTTCTATAAACACATATTATATCAAGCAAATACTAAGACTCGTAAATTGGGTATAAACTTTCGTAAGGTGGGATTACTTCGCCAGTATTTTTGCATCACTAAATAAAAAAAAATGAATACATGCCTGCTGTGATTTTTCTGCAAGCAACTGAAGAGAAACATAATATTTTGACAGACTCATAAAACGTGTTGTAAGTATTTCCCCTGTACATTCAAGACTCTTTGGGCAAAAACCGTTTTTTTTTCTGAAAAACTAACCTCTTTCATAAATCATTCCTTCTCAATTATATTTTTATTGCTTCTTGAAATTTTATTAAACTTTAGGAAAAATAGTAACCCCCCATTCTTCTCTAAAATGTTCTGCGAAATGAGTTAATTGCTTGGCTGGCATAAATCTGGGTTACATGGAAATGCAAAAGAATGTTCAGAATTAGTTTCACATCGATAATCATAATATTAATTTTATCATTCATTATTATGGATTGTGGCTGCTTGAACGAAAATTATTTCTTAGGGTTTTTTTGATGTTGCAGTTAGCCTTTTCTATTGCTCCTTGATTCTGACAGGGGAGTAGAAATTAAATGGGGCTATCCAATTATCTGAATAAGTTGGTTTTTTTTCAGGCAAGCTAGTTTGCCAAGAGTTATTAGTTTATTGCTTTCTTACTGAAAATAATGACATGAAACTGAAGCATTATTCATCCATTAACTGTGTCCATAAATTTCATTGGTATGAGGAATATGGAAGCAACAATACGCGATCAGGACTACACATTCTGCATTAACACATTTCATCCTCAGGAAAATTATATATATTCATGTGTTATCATTTATTACATATTGGCTTTGACTCGACTCCCCACATTTTCGCAGATGCAAATAATGAAATATACGAAACAAACTGCCATCACCATTGCACTCACCTCCGATTATCCAACTGAGCTTTGACGAATCTTTTTCCAACCATCATTATAGTTTATAATAGAACAACCCATTCAAAAAATCACTATTGGAACGATCGATATCAACATTTGCGATTCCTTCAGAACTGACATCACGTTAGTAGGCAGTTTGACAGACGAATGCAAATGGTTGCGGCACATGGTTGCCAGGTAAATGAAGACATTTTGCTTCATAGCTGATACATCAACAAAAAGTTCAAAAGAGCGGGACGGTAGCTGGTTGGGTTGACGTGAGTGGTATACTCTACGGCATATCGTTCAACTCGTGCTCAGGATCGCACGTTAAAAAGGAAGACCTCGTTGATCGTTAGCTCACAAGTTTTGACTTTTGAGGGTTGCCGTTCGTAGGGAGGCGACAGCTGGGAAAAACCGTATTTACCGGGTTTTCAACAGACGAATAACCACACAAGCGAGTTATGGCGCCAAATACTTCTGTACACGCGTTTTGGTAGATTTGTTGAACTTTTTTGGGAAAAAAAGGTTGTGGCTTTCTACTTCTCCATCTTGATACAAAAAATGTGGGAATCTTCCAAAGGAAAGAAGGACGCAATTAATTTCAAAAAAATTAACTATATGTCTAGATCATGCAAAGAAGTAGGTTATGTTAGGTTAGGTACAAAGTGAGTGGGTCTACTAGACCCTCCACCGCAACCCGCAAGGGTTTATTGTGGCTTACACCTATTCACACTCGACCAAATAAACCCAGCCTCTTAACGAATTCAATTAGTTTGTATGGTGAGTGGTCTTTTAGTTCAGATGGCAAGAGTATGGCTCTGTCAAATTCTAAAAACCTGATTCGAACCCCAGCGGGGCAGGCACAAAGTATGTGCTCTGCTGTTTCATCATTTTTCCAAACAGAGGCGACACACATTGTCTTCCGACAGTCAAAGTCTCTGCATATGATGATTCAAATGACAGTGACCTGTAAGAAGGTCTGTTAGATATCGTAGTTCACTTCTACTGTAGTCCAACAACTGTTTGATATTAAGCTTCGAAGGGTGAACAAACTCCTTTAGTGAGCCAATCCTGGAAGATTCTTCCAGAAGTCCATAAATCTTCTTGTCATCCATGTGTTCAATCTTTGTTTGGCAAAGCCTTAAGCCAGTACCGTCCTTTGCAAGGGAGTCAGCAGCCTCATTGCCTTCCAGGCCAGTATGGCCAGGACCCAGACCAGAGTCGTTTTTGGCAATTTGCTACCAATTTAGACGTTGCTCGGTAGGAGCCAAAAGCTTCCAACGCCGCTTGACTGTCCGATAATATTTTTATTCTCTTGTGTACAAAGAAGTAACTTTGAGGCCCAAACTGAAAAAAATCCCTCTCGAAACAGCTATTTCCATATAAACATAGCATTAATTATATTGTGTAGGAATCCTGTGAAAGATATCTGATTCAGTTCCATTGCGAATGTTTGGAATATAAACGGAATAGCAAGATTGTTTCTTGTATAATTCAGAGTTCATATAAAAGTATTTGTTTCAAAAGTATTTTTCTTTTGTGTAATTCAATATTTATATGATAATAGCCGTTTCCAATTTGTGCCTAAAAGACACTTTTTTGCATAGAGTCAATTTTTGAAATTGATTGCTTTCTTCCTTTCTTTGGAAGATTCTCACATTTTTGTGTCAAGATGGAGAAGAAAGCCAAAACCTTCCCTTTTCAAAAATTAATCTTAATCTTTCCTAAATTATGAACATAAGGACATTTCTGCGAGCAGCGAAGCTGAACACACATGCAAGTAGTCTATTGGACCCCCGAGAGATTTTTTTAAATTTTTTGTACAACGTCCGTTTTTAAGTTACAGGGGAGAGTCAAGTTCTTCTTGAAGTGTCCAGTATGCCTCCTCATAATCACAGACTCGTATTGTTTTACTAATTGTTTCGTTATTGCAGGTTACTATGCCAAGAAGATCACACAAGAAGGAGAAGAAAATGAAGCGAAAAGAGTGGGAAGATGCTATTGAAGCTGCAATTCGGGATCTCACTGCAAATGCCACTGAACATAAACCCCAAGTTCTACAAATTGTTATTTACGAAAGTTCAGTATGAAGTGATTCATAGTGCTTCCTTGTATTTAAGAGCTTCCGTGGAACGAAAATATGTCGTGTTGATCTTCGATTGTTTTATCTAGACTCTAACATGGAATGGGACGAACATATAACATATATACTGATGAAAAACTTCAAAATTTTACATATAAATTGAATATCTGAAAAAAAATTACATAGCCTGAAAATTGTTTATCATTCATTAGTTGAAAAGCATTTACAGTACTATATACTGCCTTGGCGTAGTGCCCTCAGAATGTAGTGCCCTCAGAATATATATCCAACTCCTTGAAATGTTACAATATAGATTTTTGAAACTAATCACACATTTGATGAACTTTATCCAAACAGCGGAATATTAGAGATAAGCCTATTATATTACTTGAAAATTGACGTAAATTTTTATTCTATATGCCACTTGATCCAACTTCAATCTTGTAATCATTCAACTCGTCAAAGAAATAATCACTTGGTTCCCCAAATGACGGAATCTATATGTCAAAGATCATTTCCTTACTTAGCACCACACAAAAAAACAATGTGTGGGTTGGTACTTCCAGGGGTCATATTATCGGACTATTTTATTCATCCTAATCTGAATGGTGAAGAGTATTTATAACTTTTGCGTGGTAGAATCGGTTCCAGGATAACTGAACTACTAGACAAGATGACAACCTTATAGGGGCACCTAAACACAATGCTGCTTCCATTCGTCAATTCCTAAACAAAGAGCTTTCTGGACGATCAATCGGCAGAGGAGGCACCGTGGAAAAACTTATTCATCGACATAACCTTATAGGTTATGTCGACTACCTTGTCCTGCGCTGTCAGACTTTGTTTGAGACACTTGACAATTGAAGCCTGAATTCGTTGAAGATAACAATATAGTTATCAGAGTGTCGTTCAATAACACGGACTTTTTCAAGATCAATTCATTTGTGTTTGAGGGTATTAGTTGCAACATTGAATGGAACTATTCCGAATGAAAACAGACGTGTTAATTGTTCCAGGCCACCTTTGTTTGACGTTACCTTTCGAGGTCACCTTTCAATCAAAGTATTGACCACTGTTCCTATTCAAAAAATATGGTACGGTTCTAGAGAAAGACGAATTCGAGAAAACACAGTATATGCCATAACTTAGCACCCTTGATATAAATATAGACGAGTCTCGCTGTTTTCGGGTGAGCTATTTTTGTTGCAATACTCGGCTTCCTAGTAGATAAAAAAATACTTTTCAATTATCGTTTTATTTAAATTCGAAATTACGAATTCAAAGCATACATATCAGAATTAGTTGAAGTGTCTAGTTCAAAGGCAATCGTCAGCTTCACAAGAATGACTCGAAAGTAAAAGTGCTTTGGATAAATGCAAATTTTTCTCTAAAAAAATTAACTTTAAACGTTCAAGCCAGTCTCGAATATACCTACACAGTAGGTTGAATGGACTGACGCCTATCAGAAAACAACTGATCCCCTGGCTAATACCACTGAGGGCGTTGGATTATATCAGACAGACGTCTGTGTAGGAATCTTCACAGAAAATTTTCTGTGTATGCAATTGGCAATACAACTGAAAGAGTCGACCTTCAATTTTGGAACGGGCACACTTGGAGACCTGTTTCGGGCTCATCAGCCACTCATCAGTGCAATAAAGTGGCCATCATCGACTATAGTCAATGATATTCCATAATTGGAAATCGGAATTCTTTCAGAGTATTTCATTCCTCTTCCTAAGTTGTAGCGAACAAGAAAATGTCACTCCATCTAGTGGACGAGATGCTAACCAATATTTTTGTTGAACTATTTCATTGGAACTTTTCTTCGAAAATGAGGTCCAGTTCGACTTCTAATTTGGTTTATTCTTGCAATTTGAGAGTACAAACCTAGCGAACTTGATTAACGATAATATAATAGTCTATTTTTTCCACCTGTTACTGGGTCTCAAATAATCAAAACTCTTCGATTGAGTTTTCATTTATCTTAAATGACATCAAAGTCACGTAAGTATTCTAAGTTCAAGTAATTCTACGATAAGAAAACAATTCAAATTCTCATAAATATCAGATTATCCAGTTAGAACGCATTTACCTGCAAAAACAATTTTTTAGTTTGGGATGAGTTTCATGATTGAATTTTTAAATCGCGATCAATAATATTTGCAAGTGACTGACTCCAATAGGAAAAATTTCGCAAAAAAAATTAGGAGAGGTTCAACAAGTGAGAGCAGAAACAACTTTCGAAAACTATAAAGAAACATGTTCACAATCCATTGTTATCGAGACAAATATATAGAAACATTTTATTTCACTTTGAGAATAGATCTAATTCTTGCTCTGCAGAGGGAAGAAAGCTAGCTTTCAAGAAAAGTACCAACTGAAATACAAGTAGTGTTTGATGGATTATGTTACAAGGGCTTTAAAAAACGGGTCTCATTTTTATCTGAAAGGCGTATTTTTTAAGATATGAGGGATAGAATTTCTGCCCTGTATAACATTCGAGAGTATTTGAAAATATTCCAGAACATTTCGGAAGATACCAGAATGCAGGAAAGAAGTCTGGAAGGATCGGTAATATCCTGGAGTATCCCAGATCATTGTGGAAAGATCAAGGATGCTACAGCTCTGTTACTGTTCGACAAGAAACATCTCCAGAATTCCTACACGACTGATTTGCGACATAAGAAGACGAAACCCCACTTCTCACTATATAGGCGAAATAGATTGGCTTAATAGGAGAAATCAAGAAATATTACACCGTTGTGTACCCATTAAATACCAAACAGCAAAAAAATTCACAATTATTTAACATAATCGAAGAACGGCCATAAGCTCATAAATTAACTTCTGAATTCGATTAAACGTACTTCAATTTATTGTCTGCCTATCTCTGCCAATTGTCAAACGTAATTAATTCACTACGTGTACCAATTCTCAGATCAATCATCCTTCATTCGAATTGACATCTGCATCTAGCTGCAATGTGAAAATACAATATGAAAATACGTTACTCATCAGATTGATTTGTTGATTTTTCAGTTAGGAACTAGCTTTGTACGATCAGTCTCACTTTTATTGTATTGAAGAAGAGCGAATGCTGTCTTTTTCGAGCCAGGATCGTCACATACACCTCAACTTTATACTTATGTATACAATCATGTCATTTTTTCCATATCTATTGTATGTTCTGGTGTAGCAATAAAATCATCTTTCATTATTATAACTTTTATTATATGTCATGGATACTACAACCCGTTAATTGATCCCTATCACACATTCACTATTTCTGGGGCATAATGTACAAATAATAAACTTTCATAATAAACTTTCAGTAATAGCACAGGGTGGAAAACGATGAAAAATATATTTTGTTAGTAGAAAATTATTAGTTATTTTTAACATCTTCATATTTTGAAACATTTTCAACTCCAAAGTACATTCGAAATAGCTTCTAAAGAACAGGTTCTTCCAACATGTACTTTCGAATCTTGACAATTATTAACAGTCATTTTGTTTTGAAGCTACATCTGTCAAATCAGTTGTCATTTAGTCAACAACATACCACACGCTTCATCCATTTTACGGTCACCATTATCGTTCTGCTGAGAGGACTATTTGCAATGTTGCAGATAAATTTGAGCCCACTGGTTCATTAAACGATCAATCAACACCCATACGTCGACGAAATGCCATAACTGCCGAAAACATGGCAGCTGTCTGTGAGAGTGTGCAGTAGAATCCGAGGCAGTTGATTTGGCGTCGCTCACAAAAATTCAGTCTTCAGCAGACCAGAACTTGGCGAATTTTGTGTCGTGACTTCGACCTGACCCGTATAAAATCCAACTGATCCAGGAACTGAAGATGAACGACCATAGACAATGACGTGTGTGAACTGATTGTGCTCTGGAGCAGTTGGCAACTGACTTCAGTTTTCATTGAAAAATCATCTTCAGCGATGAGGCCCATTTCTGGATGAATGGGTACGTGAACAAACAAAATTTTCAAATTTGGAACGACACCAATGCACATGAGATCCAAGAGTGTCCAATGCATCCCGAAAAAGTCACTGTTTGGTGTGGATTTTGGGCTGGCGGCGTCATCGCTCCATATTTCTTTGAGAACGATGTTGGCCAGGCCATCACTGTCAACGGCGTGCACTATTATTATAGGTCGAACACTTCTTCTTTTGGCTTGAATTGGATGATCTGGACACCAAGGACATGTTGTTCAAACAGAACGGCGCTTCGTGCCACACAGCTCTTGCCACATTGGATAGTACGAGCGATTTAAGCGACATGGTCATCTCACGTTGAGGTGATGTAAACTGGCCACCAAGATCGTGTGATTTAACACCGTTAAATTTTTTTTGGGAGGTTTTATTAAGTCGCAGGTGTTTTCAAATGAGCCACAAACCACCTGTCAAATTCTGCTTAATTTATGCGCCAAAGTCATGGAAAACTGGAGGATTTGGATGCGCTGCGTAGAGAGAGGCCGTGGTGGACATTTGAACGATGTTATACTCAACACATAATGACATCAATATGTCTTTAAAACGAATGAAAAATGTTGAAATCTCTCATATACTTTGTTTTATATAAATTTAAAGATAGGAAGCACTGAATAAAAGACCTTATAAAATGTATTTTATATAACAGTAGGTAACGACAAAACGCATCAGGTAGATTTGTAGAAAAACAATTGTTCTTTCTGAACCTTTTTAGTTCTGAAGGAATAAATCATTTTTCTAATAAAGTTTTGACGTAAAATGCCACAAATTTTACCTGTTTTCCCAAAACTAATATTGTATTGTAATTGTTTTTTCAAAATCTAGCAGGTTTAACAGATTCAAACATTTATCTTATACGTTTTATCAATACCTACTGGTATATTATAGAATAAATTGACTGATGAAACTACCGTGTAGGAAAACGCGTCCTTAACAAAACCAATTGGTAAAATTTTATAATCATTAATTTTTATCATGGATATCATTGTATTTTTTTAGGGACAAAATACAAGTACTACAGGAAAATCCTTGAGGCGCTCTCAAAGCGGTGCCTGTGCGAAAGTAGCAATTCACATTGGAACACAGTTCTCCAAATGAGAGAGTTCTTAAACCTCAATACGACGAGCAGCCACAGTCCGTCGCGTATTTCTGATATGGACTGTTCTTGGTGTTCTGTATTTCGTCATTGACAGATGTTAAAATAAATGACATTTTCATTCACTGTTTTATATATTTTGTGAACATTTCATTGGCTGGGTTGGATTCGTTGAGTTTCATTTTAAAAGAAGACCTGAATTGTATTGATTTTCATTCTTTGACAACTTAAAAAAAAATAAGTTCCAAATGAAGACTGAAACTATATAAACTGAACTTAAAAAAATACGACAATTTTTAAAATTACTCATTTATTTTCATCGAAACTGAAAAAAACCTTCATACCTAGGTATACCTACAGCTTCATCTGGGAACTGGCAACAAAGATAAATACATCCTTCTTTTAAAACTCCTGGACTTGTTGGGTTAAAACAATATTGCTAATGCATGTTTTTTGCGGAAAAATTAGCGGACAGCAAAACATTGCAAGAGTTGATTGGGATATTTGAAGACGAACAACTTCAAGATTGTGGACGATTTTGTCGCTCTTCTGAAAATCCATTTCGAAATGTACATATAGTACATACACTCATCGGTTCTATTCTGGAATTTATCTCTCACTATTCCACAAAGCAATGACCGAGTGAATTTATCCCAATGCTTGGAGTCATTTACTAAAGGAGAAATTCTAAATGGAGACGAAGAACAGATGTGTTTGAGATATAGAGAAAGTAGAGAGTGTACAAAATCACTATCGATCCATAAGGTTTCTGAACAATAGTGATACATTTGAAGAAATGTTTACCAACAGAAAAAATTGAATGTTGCTTTCCACTTTCCTGGAAGTATCAGAGTTGCGTAATTTTGAAAATCCAGATATTTTAAACGAGTGAAGCGATTTTCAAAAGTAATCGTGTGTTCTTCACACATTTGATCAAATTATACCATTCGTACGAGTTCCAAAAATCCCCCTGATTTCTTTTATCTCTTGACTAGAAGAAACAAAATATTTTGAGGACCCACACCTTTTTAGGTCTCCAAATGAGGGTTTTGGAAACTAAGGCTACCATTGTTTCTATTGTAAAAATAATTTTTTTTCGATTTTTCGAGCTCAAGTCTTTTATTTTCCGCATTATCTTCAATGTAGATTAGATTGTCGGGGACCTATCCCATGGCCTAATTCACTGCCACCTTTTCACATCTATTGTGATGCTCTTTGGTTGTTAGAGCTCATTGTCTAGCTTGATCTCTTTGATGAGACTCCATAGCCTTGATGACACTGACCCCTTCATATAGCTGGCAGCCTCTGGTTTCTCTTCCCCGCATCTTGCGTGTCTCAGCCTTGCTATCGCTTCGCATTCACAGATCATATGCAGTGCGGTTTCTTCTTCTTCTTGACAGAACCTTGTTTGTGTTTTTTCTGTCAGACCCATGTTGCTCATATGTTTCCTGAGTCGGCTCTTCCCCGGAACTAGACCTATCACTACCCTTACAACCTTACGGGTGTGGTTTAGCAGGTCTTTCGTTCCAGTAAATCTGGACGATGGTTTCTTCATGAATTCTTTTGCCTGTCTCATTCCTGGGAGCTTATTCCACCAATCTATCGATTCGGCTTGCATCCATGAATATATGGATGTCTTTATACATGTTTTCGCTACCTCGCAGAAGGGTTCTGGGACGATCATAGCTTTGGTTGTCTTCAATGTAACCAACAATAATTTGCAAACATATATTTAGTAGAAAACGGACAACAAAAATATAGGAAGGCATAATACTATACATATAAATGAATTGAAATATATAAATGTAATGTAAGCTTTCGAATTGAATAAAGAAAAAATAATATTATGTGTCGTTGGTATAATAATATTTGAATTTCATTAAGCATTCCCAAACATTTTAAATCCAAATATGTATAGATTGATTTTATGGATACTCCTGATAATCGAGCATTTAGAAAATATGAAACAAGGCATGAAGAAAATGAACATGTCCAAACAAAACAAACTAAAAGAAATGCGATAACACGAAACTACACTATGGATCTATCATCCAAAATATTCAATTACTTACCCGAAATATTCGAAACACATCTTACTTGGAACTATTTCTTGAATATGATTGAAAGAATATTCAAAAACTCATTGTAGCCATCAGCCAATAACAATAACAAACTTACTTACCATTTTGAATCATAGAGTTACCTACCATTTCAAATATTTCAATCTAGAATGTTTCAACGTAGTTATAATGTTTTAGGTTTTTTACGTAGCCATAATGTTTAAATGTAGCTATTGCTTTCACTCAATAATTGATAATAAATGTAAATTAGATTTTAATGTTCATACCCTTGTTACTATCACACCTGTTAGGAATACAAGATCCGGAAACCCTCCCATGCCCATTCCCAACCAAAACGGTTGGATTTCATCCTGCTGTTGTTTATTGTAATGTATTATCCATTGTATTTTGAATGTTTAGTTTACCAATAAACATTATTATTATTTCATTTGAACGTATGCGGGTTCTTAAACGTGCCCCTATAGCGCCCTTCCACAGTCCCAAACGCACGGCTATGGCATTCATTGTCTCAAAGGGAAACAACTCAATGGGGAGAACTTTGGACCCGATCGCACGGTACAGTTGAATCATGATTCAAAGTATCGTGATGAGTGTGTGTCATAGGTTTTGGTTTTGAAGACCAGTTAATGTAGTAGACAACGCTTATCAGAGCCTGGAAAAGTTTATTTCTATAAATACAACGTGTGTACGTAAATTTCAGCATTCTAAAGTATTCGTGAACAACACAAGTACTTATTGGAGTGTTGATTACAACTGACGTGCGCTCTGAAATTTGGTTGAATATTGTGAAATAGGCAGGTGAGAAAACAATATATTTATTTTACTTACGTGTAAATAAATGTTTGCTTGTATCGGAGTACCTAACGAATGCGGAATACGGACTTGTAGCTATATAATTTTTTGACAACCATAAATGTTACTATAATTTGTCAGGTGATACATGTATGCATTGTTCGTGTTGGTGATATATTTCTAGCCGGTTGAATTCAGGGCTGGCGAAAGAAGTGGTTTTAGTGGGTAATTAGGTATTTACGTAAAAAAAGGTTGATTTGATAGTAACGAATTTTTGCCCTGAGGCACATGAAAGCTAGGGAATCGGTTCAGAATACAGTCAAGTTTCCGATTTCAATAAAATTTTCCGGAACCTTTCAAAACGATTAGAAAGCAATTTTTTCAGTGAAGGTTTCTACTATGCTTTCTTTCGTTTCTTTATATCAACGACAACCTTCAGAAGTCGTAACTCATTAAGGATTTAGGAAGTCTCATGTACCTGTTAACGTGCGATACCGATACCGGAAGGATTCGAAGCCAAATTCACGCAATTTTGCCAACGTTTTCATTGACTTGTGACACTGTGCATTGTCTTGATGGAGCAGCACTTTCCTCTTCTTCAAATGGGGTTGTTTTTCCGCAATTTCAGCCTTCAAATGTTCCAGTAACGCCATATAAGATTCACTGTTGATGGAATTTCTCTTCTTCTCAAGATAGTCGATGAATATTACACCACGCACATCTCAAAATACCGAGGCCATAACCTTTCCAGCCGATTGTTGTGCTATCGGGCGCTTTAGACGAGGTTCACCAGTTGTTCTCTACTCAAATGATCGTTTTGATTCTGGAGTGAAGAGATGGATCCATGTTTCATTCATTGTCACATATCGATGTAAAAATTCCGGCTTGTTATGTTTAAACATGGCCAAACTCTGCTCAGAATCATCAAGACGTTCTTGTTTTTGATCAGTGAGCTCGCGTGGCACTCACTTTGAGCAGAGCTTTTTCGTAGTCAAATGTTCAAGCAATATAAAGCCAATACGTTCTTTTGAAATATTTACAATGTCAGCCAACTCACGCAACTTCACTTTTCGATCATTCAAAAAGATTTTGTGAAATTTTGTCATGTTTTCTAGTGTTACTGTCTCATTTGGACGTCCACTGCGTTCTGCATCATCGGTGTCTCTACCACCACGTTTGAAGTCAGCAACTCAGCGTTTAATTGTTGCTTCTGATGAAGCGGAGTCCTTATAACACTTTTCAAGGCATTGCTTCGCTTGATCGGTATTTGTTCCCATCTAGAAGCAGCGTTAAACACGATATTTGATCTATTGTTTTGAAAATAACAAAAGTAGTTAGCACAATAACTCTTAGCACAATAACTCACAAAATCATAAGTAGAATATCATAAAATTTCAACAGTTTTCTGTTGAAAGCTAGTACTAACTGAAAAAGTGGTGAATGTAATAAGACTAATGCCATCTATGCGTTAGGTTAGGTTAGGGCCGAGACTTTTCGGCCCATGTAGTACTTATAATATCGAAAATTTCTCAAAAATTTGAATGCTACACAAACCATTATTGTGGTACAATTTATGAGCCTTATTTGAATGTCGTTGTAAATAATTGAGAGTACAGAATTCTTACCTCGGGGTTGTATATTTACGCTCATATTTATGCCATTTTCAGAAGAAATACTCGAGGCCGTTGAAGCACTGAATTTACAAAATACCAGGCCATTCTTTCAGAATAGTGCGTTTGTTATTGGTATAGGTTAGGTTAGAGTGAGGACGGTGGAGGATTTATAGTATCTATAGGAGACTCAATCCATGAATATGATTGACTTTCGTGGCCTTGGCGAGTGTCGTATAACTCTTATATTCGAGGATCCATTAGAAAATGAATATTTCGAAATGAAATCTCGAAATATTCATCTCTCCCAACTGGTACTGCTTCCCCGGCTAATACTACGCTGAATTATATTCAACAAACATTTATGCATGTATGCAAGACATTTATGCAGTCTCGCAGATTTTTCTCGTTCATCCAGCAGCAAGACCATCCTGAAATTATTCGATTAGATCACCTACAGACCGGTTTCGAGGTCTATCGATCCATTAGACGGCCGGGAGATGTCGCCTTTACTTTCTCAGGCTTTTCCATTAGGGATCGTCGCATCCCTAGTATCCCTGATGAGATCTTGTTGGATTGTGGTGGTTTTTATGCTCTAGTTTCTAGCAGGTTAGGTTAGGTTCGATGTAAGTGGGTCTATTCTACAGTCTATTGCAAACCGCGCAGGTTCGTTGTAACTCACACCATTTTGAACTCTACCAGAAAAGTCTTACTTCCTAACACGCATCTATAAATCATTTGAATTGCGACAGGAGAGTAATTTGAAAGCTTAGAAAGCCCGTGCACGAGCCAGATTTTGCGGTCGGATCGACCACACAATTGCAGTCGCGTTCCAGCGAACTCAAGCCGCCCATAAGAAATACTATACTACACGTACAAGGGCGTTCACAAAAGTCAAAACGGGCGTCTACAGTCAACTTGCTGCTGATCTCCGCCGAGATGTCATCGCGGCATCCGCCGTACACTAACCACAAACTGGCAGTCGTGTGTTGCCAACTGGATGAACTATAAAGTCGCTACACATGAACCAAAATTCCGCTACACTGCTTCATATTCCGCTTCGCTTATTTATGTCTCTGACGGGATCAGTTCGCGCATGCGACCTATCCAAAATCAAACACCACAGAACTTTCAGTTTGTAGCTTGTGTACCGGTCAGATATCACGAAACTGAACTGTCACTAGTATCAGGAATCAGGATTATGCTAATTTTCAACCGCGCAACTCAGTAGATGGTACCTAATTTTCAAAATTTACAGCAGTTAATTTTTGAAAGCTGTTCGACTGAATATTTCTTAGCTTGAAATAATGATTTTGAAAACTAAAAATAAATATCAATTCGTTCATATACGAATAGTCACACTGAGCTCTTGAACGACCATTAGCGACAGATCTAATCCATCCTTTCGAATTGGAATCAGACAACCAATGTTGAGAAGAAGTTTGTTTGTGAGACTTTTAGTATATTTTCGAACAGGTCTCGTTTTCGTTAATTTTAACTGCGGTAGCTCTTTCGTTCAAGCTACAATCAGATGAACTATTTTTCATTTCCACTGTAATTTGTTCCATATGATTTATAATCAAATGCGGTTTTTTAGATTGGTTGGGAAAGGGATCAAAAATATTCGTAGATAAACAATTTAGTTTTATGCCAACGTTTCGGGCTTTATTAAATCCAAATCGAAACGTTGGCATAAAACTAAATTTTTTATCTACGAATATTTTTGATCTCTTTCCCAACCAATCGAAAAAACCGCATTTGAAAATATTTTGGATCACCAAACCAGGCAAAGATAATTTATAATACTCGAGACAGTCGAGACTTATGGTTTCAAGATATTGGAGGTTATATGGTTCATGATATGAATGAAAATATCCAAAAATATTCTTTTTCTCGATCATCATGTAATGATCTCAGCTACTAAGACTATAACGTATTGACTGTGCATTCAATTATTCAAGTGTCAACTGTCAGCTTCGACCCACTGGCCGGATAGTCTTGGTAGCTGAGGCCAATACAAGAAGAGAAGAAGTGCTGTCCACTGCCTCTTCTTCCATTTTTTTCAATATTGGTTATTTGTAGAAAATTCCGCTACTTAATGTTCAAATCCGCTACGCCGCTACCGTCGAGTAAATTCCGCCACAGTAGCGGAATTCCGCAACTCTGTAACGTACCCAACCGTGTACACAGTCTGTCTGTTTAAAAATCTGTTCCTAACACGTGTACACGGTACACGTGTACTTTTTCTCATATTGGTCTCACGCAGCGTTCAATTTTTTATTTCAAAATTCTTATCAATCCATCAAAAGAACTAATGAACATTCTGAAGTAATTAAAAATTTTTTTTCATCTTGCCAGAGTTTACCGGTAGTAAACTAATTTCAGTTTTTTGCATAATAAAATTGTTTCTCCATTACAATTATTACAAAATATAAAAATTTCCTTCCTGCAGTCGCGCAACCAGAAGTGGATGTACCCAAAACGATCCTACCTACCTACGTCTTCTCCTTCTCCTCGAAATAGGAAGTAGTAGTGCTTCTTCGAAATCCATATTGAAACTGGCACTAAACTCTGACACCACAAAATATAGATGTCAGTTGCCTCAACTGCAAGTGCGGTTTGTATGACCGCAAGTCGACCACAAAAATGTGGTTGGGTCAATCGCGAAGTGCAGTCAACAGGACCACAATGTTGTGGTTGCCTCAACTGCAGATATGTGGTCCGTGTACGGCCGGGCTTACAGAGCGCTAAACTAATTAATACCTTAATTTTTTTCTGTTATTGTCATATTAGCTGGTAACTGATAATAATGACCTTTGATAAAGTTCACTCAAAAAGGTATGTTCACAACTATCAATTTACGACTCCAACTGACCTTGAAAAAAAGGTTTGGTAGTGCCAGGACCTTATAAAACCGCCTTGCACCAAATTCTTGAATGTCGTACGCAGAATCTGTCTCAGGTGGGGGAACAAACCCCCCATAAGCATGTTAGCAAACATTTGCGCTCAGGTGATGATTCACCAAAACCACAGGCGAAAAAGCCTGTGGTTTTGGTGCACTGTGGTGCACGGCTGAATCTAAGGTCGTTAGGTGTAGCTGACGTGTAAAAACCCTCATATGGGAAGGTGGGAATCTTGCAACTTGACTACCCGACTACCTTATTCACAGTATATACTTTGTGCCTGCCCCGCTGGGGACCGAATCAGGTCTTTAGAGTTCGGCAGAGCCGTACTCTTACCATCTGACCTGAAAGACCACTCACCATACAAACTAATCGGGTTCGTTCAGAAGCTGGGTTTATTTGGCGGAGTGTGAATAGGTGTGAGCTACGATAAACCCTTGCGGGTTCCGGTGGAGGGTCGAATAGACCAACTCACTTTGGACCTAACCTAACT